CCAGGAAGTACCTGTATTTTTTTGCCATGCTTTAACTTTACAAGTGTTAAATTAGGCGCAAAATGGACTATTGCTTTCATATCTGGTCTGGAGCTTCTCAAGACTTCGCTTTCTAGACAACATTTCAAAATCGTTTACGCAGCCTTGTGGAGGATGCCCTATAATGTAGCCTCTTTCCCGCAGTCTTAACTTTGCAAGCCTATCGCTACTCTATCGTTATTTCCATAGCAAATGCTTAGATAAACTCCATTCTTTAGTTCGAACAGAACTTTATAACGATGCCGCACCACGCCACTCCCACAGAATTGAATCACACTTATTTCCCACCAGTTCCAAATGTAAGGAAAACGTTCCACCAAACAGAACCGCTTCTTTGTGGAACAGACACCCGCGTGGATACTTACCTGAAAACTTTAATATTAACCTCTTCGTGTCATGGGTCATTCGCTATCTATCTTCATAATCTTCACTTCATATCATATGTCGCTCATATCATTCCTCACGACTATTTTAACAGTAACGCTCTAACTTGAATAGCTCTCGTGCCTTGTACGTAATTTTCTTTATACTAATTATGTATTTATAATATATAGTTAAAAACAAAAGAACCTTTTCGTTATACATTTTCATCTGTACAAAGCAACGAATAAACAAAATGAATGAATAAACTTTAACTTTCGGTTTTGTTCATGAAATGAATATACTCTTAAGCAAAGGTAGGTCCTCTTCAATCCGAATACGAGGATTTTCAGAGGCATTTACTAATGACATATATTTTCTGCCCAGTGAAGAATGCATAAAATAGTAGTACCTCATTTCCGAGGACACTCGTCTGCTAGGGTGGCTAGAAAACCCCTATTGAACACGGCTGGTCAGGTACATTTGCATCTGTTCACCTACCACAAAGCACACCTGTGGTTTATATTGTAACTACGCTGAGTAGACCGTAGTTGGAAAAAAGAGAGAGCTTCATCTGGCGTGATCAACAGTTTTGAACAAGTCCAGTACACTCAAAGCCTCGGTCTCGATGACTTGTGACTTCATTCTCGCACAACCATCGATGGCTTCCAAACAGTGCCGTCTATCCAATTACAATCAAAAGGTTTGGGTCAATAGGCGGTACGGTTTTCGAGCCTTTCCCCAATGTTACCACACTCTGATATCGCCTCCCCAGGCCGAGAGCATAAACAGGACATTTCACTGACACCTGGTGAAATGAGAAGGCGGCTGTTATGGTCGGAATGGGAACGTTCTATCCACTCAGCCAAACACCCAGAAAGAAGACATACATATTTACATACATACATGCATATACGTCTGTGGGTCTATACAACTAAAATCCATAACGGTATATACAGTCCCATTTTTTGTGTATATCAACATTACCGAAATGCTAATTTACTCGTGAAAATAATTCTTGCACATTTACCAATACCACGAACATACATGTGCATTGGTTAAGTTTTTTTCTAGACAATAATACTCTGAAATACATTAGTACTTACAACCAAATAGAAACACCAATTCGTTATGCTGATATTTAAATAGAATTAAAAAACATATCCTCTACTTTCATATCCTTAATTCCACACGCCTTTTCCGGATGATAATTTGTGAAGTAATTTATTCGCTAATCAAAAGCGTTTCCTATTCTGCTATTATCTGTAATGCCAACAAAAGAGAGACATTTCAAGAAATTACAACTTAATAGGACGAATAAATTTCTTACGCGCGTGCGCAAAGCTGAGTTTCTATGCGCATGCGTACATTTGAATACTATATGCTCGTATTTAATAAATGTCACTTTTCAGCTATTACTTTAATAAGCTTTAAAACCACTGCGTCATTTGGTTAAAATATTGTAGATATACTAAATATTTTTTAAAGAAAAATGAGTTATTTTTAAGTGAAACTATTCTTAAAATTCCGATATAGTATAAAATTGCCCGATATTAAAATTGAAAATTGTATTCCTTCAGCCAAAATGCTTATAAAAAGGATGTTTTTATTTGGCCGGTTGAAAAACAGCGATTCGGACGATTATCTTTTCCTTTAGGCTTGTCAATAAATGACGCATGCAAAAAGGAAACTACTTTCAGATGCATTGATGAGATAAATGTTATAACGTAATCAACCTCTATTTCTTCCAATATATGTTCTTTTTCTTGCAGCTATATGCGAGGATTATATCGGCTGTACTAGAAATATGCATCCAAGAAAATTGCACAAAATATATTATGCGTATAAGATTATTTTGCTTTTACACCACAAAAGTAAAAGTAATTTTATTTTAATAAGCTATGTGATGCGATTTATAACCATTGGTAGAGCCCCAAAAGTGCTTGTTGCATATCTCTCCGAACGGCAGCCATCATGCAATGCACTTGTCGGTGATCTTTCAAAAAATAAAACTGTATTTTTTTATATATATTTTGGCTAATGAAAATCCTAAAGAAACCTTGATCTACTTTTATGGAAGTCGATTTTTTAAAGGCCACTTAACGGCATAACCATGGATAGATTGACTCAAAAGAGTAAAGATGTCAGCATTCAAGCCCTTTAATTCAAGTCTAGAAATACCCCCATTATCACTGATGAGATTCAAAAGCAAAAGAATGCAAGTTAATTTTTAACTGATAACAGGAAGAACTTTTTCAGTTCGACCTTCATTCATATACTACTTCTCTTTACTCGGCCTATTTTGAAAGTATCTGATTTCAGAGTCTTTAATCTTACAAGTCGAATTCATACAACGATATATTTTATTCATTACGCACAAAAAATTAACATTAACAAACGAACTTTAACACTACATTTCTCCTTATCAAACTGTTTAAATTCTGAAAATCAAATAATTTATCTATGTAAATAAGTTCATTGTGTAAATTATTTTTCTATTTTTCTCCAACTAGGAATATCTGAAAGGTTTAACGAATCCAGTTTCTCGTAGAGAAGTACACCAAACAGAGAGGTGGTACACTTTGGACAGATCATTGGTGTCAAGGCAAGACATTATACACAATTGACAGAGTGCATTCAAATACCAAATAATTACTGGCTAGCAAGCAAACTCCTGTCTCTATTCTAACGTCAATCCTTTCCGACATTTGTACAGATAGTCATTTATGACAGCAACATAATCCCATCTTTAATAAGTTCGTTTGTTTTTGTCTTCCTTTTTATATGTCTTGCATTCCGCAGAGATAGACCACAAAATAAAAGACGGCGGCGAAATACTGGAGTTCCAGTCGCTGCAAAAAAATGCTTTCTCTACATAAGTCTCGCTGACTATCGGAGAACGTACAACGGATGTGAAAAATCATTAATATCTGTTCCCGAAAGGAATATATACTGATGGAAATTTTTGTTCTTTCTGCTATCGCCAGGTATTGTGTCAAGTCACTTTTTGAATCATTCAACCAACGATTTTATCCACTGGGCTATGTATCCTTGGGGGATTCAGTGAGTGGATTTTGGGGCTTATAAACCTAATGTCTCAGTATTTTTTTTTACCAGAGCTCATATTACAATTTTGTGTTATTGGTGTTTTTCTCTACCTTTTTGTATTACTGGTGCTCATACTGTATTCATGTCTATGCTTGATCAGCTTAGGAAATTTTTATGATCAAACATATGCGCTGATTCCTTAAGTTTTCGTATTTTCCAGCGATGTTTTCTGTCTATTATTTCTACTTCATTCCACAGAGGGCGGTGATCAATAAAGATGACGACAACAGTCTGAATGATGTAAATAGTGTAAATATTTCAATTTACTGAAGATTAAACATGCAGGTAATAAAGCTACATTAGTAGAGAGAGACGTATGTAAATTACTAGATGCCCAAGTGCCAATATAAGGAATGAAACAGAACTAAGACTCCATATTAATATACCGTTTATACTTGTTGGATATTAACCTTGGTCCATAGTCACGCATGCATACAATTTTACGATGATGAATATCGTGATATATTATTCCAGGTTTCTCGCACCTTTTGGCGCAATATAGCAAGAATTGTAGCACATGAAATGCCCGATTCTCGATTATTCATAATTCTGAAGCTTGAATTTACTGTTCTTTCCCTTTTATAAATTTTGCATTACACGTGTATTCGTTTGTATAACATGAATTGCTATCTCTCTAACGGTTAGTGATCTGAAGGTGAAATCAAGTAGATATGTGTAAAATTATGGCGTGGCCTATTGTAAATCTAGCTTTCAGGATGGTTCTATTTTCACGCTTGAATGTATGTTACCTGTGTAACAAGGATGGCTGCTCTTTTTGTGCGGTTTTAAAATAGAGTAGAATGTATTTGAAACGAGTGAACAATCAATAGTCCTTGGTATGACGATAAACTACATCCGGCAGCAAATGTCCTGCGAATTTTTAATTTTAAAATTCGTAGGAGAAAATGGTCATTAACCAATGGTATCATAATTCTAATTGTACGAAAAACATATATGTATGTATGTATGTATTGCTGGTATTTTTACTATAAAAATGTATTTTTCTACTTTCATAATATTTGGGAGTTAACTATTTGCCCAAGCTGGGTCTCTAATAGGTGCTATCACCCCGAGTCAGGGTGAACTTGGGAACATCAGCAATTAAGAGATGGTCCCACGCTCCTCAGAACCTCCCGATCCGAGGCCTTGCTACCGGATGTAGTTAATCATCATACCTTGGACTCGAATTTGGTTTGGACATAATTGATTCATTAATTCGTTTTCTGAGGCTTATCAATCCTTTGCAGATTATTTAAAATTTAGAAATATTTTGATATTGTAAAAATATTATTTAGTAGGGGAGGATAACAACGGTTTTGTGATAGAAATCTTACTAATTTACCCATACCTGTGGGGATGAAGAGTTGGATTCATACATTTGCCATGAGTAATTGCGTGTAAGTGAATATAACGAATACAAAGAGTATTGAAACTCTTTTTTCCTGTTAACGATTCTGAGCCATTCTGCATTACACCCCCTGCACATCTAAGCTTATAGCACCTGGTATTCCCAAGCGGTCATTCATCTAGATAATGACCAGGCTCGACATTGCTTAACTTCGGTGATTGTACGGGAACCGGGGTTTCAATTTGATGTGTCCGTAATCGAGGTTTGGAGATCAGTAAATGTTGGTCATTTATATTTAAGTTTGTAAGCATTTACTTGGTGATTGGGTGGGGGTATCCTATTCCTCTATATATAGCGCAGTCGGCTTATTCTAAGCTACGCCGACAGGGTGGCGCTATGAAGTTAAACATTTTCGTGGGTTGAGAATAACTAGAAACGTTATAAATTGTGGAAGGTAACCATAAAATAAAATTTGAGCAAATCTTGGAGATTTTCTTGTAATTTTTTTGTTTTCTCGGTAATAAAGGTGTAAAAAAATCACTACGCATTTGATTCCACTTGAAGTGATCAAATATCAGAGATTAGAATATTTGCAGAAACTCAAATCAATAACAACCTATTTACGAAACCCGAGTTTTGAGTTTTACGTTCAGTCCCCTGAGAGGATCTTGGGCCTTGTACTGGGCAAACATTATTATAACAAATCTTTTTTTTTTCTTTTCTGTTTTAAGCATTTCATCCCAAGCAAGGCAGGGGTGCCTCTAGCACGCAAGGAGTTACAAAGGGTAGAGAACAAGAATAAAGTAAGAATAAATAGAAGAACGGGGAACAAGATCAAGGTATCAGAAGATGTCGATTGACATTACACTTGAATATATGGAGATTATAGTTATCAGGGAAGCAAGTAAGAGGAAAAGAATTCCAAAGACGGAAAGTTTGAGAAGAGAAGCTGTTTGAGTAGAAGAGACAGTTACATTTAACCGTTTTGACAGTGAAAAGGGTGGGACTGAGATGCCAGCCTAGTAGCTCCCTTAAATTCATGATCTGGGAACCAGCGAAAGCAACTTGTCAGAACATTTGCCGTGAAAATACTTAAGAGCCACGGCACGTCTGTGAGAAAGCGACTGTAGACTAGATGCCAGAACAGGACCTATCACATTGCATATCTGTCTCTGGATTTTGTCAAGCACCTCGTGACTTACAGCGGGAACACCAGACCATATATGACAACAATATTCCATGCAAGGACGGAGGTTGATTTATAGATTTGAAGGATGCACTCAAACGAGAAAAACTGAGAACCAATTTTCCTTGTGTTAGATGAAGCTATTGAGTCTATGTATTTGTTTAACCTCATATCAGTGGACAGTGTGAGACCAAGCAGGCGCAACGAGGCGCTCTCGTGGAGTTGGGCATCTAATCCCATATTTTAAGGAAAAGTGTTTCTTTCATTTGCTTCGACATTTGGTGTTCAACGTGATAACTATGATCAATCGTTTTCTACTACTACTACTATGTTTCAAGATTTTTTCAGGACAAAGGCGATCATGGCCCTTCACAATTTCCTAATTTGTTATCCTTTCCCATCCCTCTTTTTCCTTGTGATGTCATACATTCACACGAAATCATTAAGTCCTTTATTCGTGGTTCTTTCTCATGCCTTCAGTATGTGAGTGTTAAATTCTCTAGGTCCTGGACGTGCGGGTGGTGTAAATTGTCTCGATCATGGACGTCCGGATGGTGTAAATTATTTAGGTCCTGGATGCGATAGTGACACTTGGGTTTGGATTAAAAGCAAATAATATCTCGACGCGAGAAATCGGAGAGCAGAGTTCGAATTCAATTCGGGTTAGATACAATAACCTACGAGCCAATACCCTTGCAAAGGTATAAATACATCTCCCCCATGTATGGGTTAATTAGTAGGACTTGTATCCGGAAAACCCATTGTTATTCTAAATAAAAATGTTAAGGCAATATTCAGTCGTAAAAAAGAGAATTATTCTTACAATCCAAAAACATATGTTTCGGCTTTAAATAACCCATAATAGGTTGATAAGATGTAAAAAAACCCAAATCAATCAATCTCTAGGTTCTCTTATTATGTGTCCCAGAAATTTCAGCTGCCTGAAACATCCTGTACACCGTGTCTTCTAAAACCAGCTTTCCTTCATCCGCACACGTAGATACTTTATTTCCATCCGCTTCAGTAGGTAAGTAGAAGCTTTAGTTATGTGTCAGAGTTTCCCAATCTTCCGTCATGACATTTATCCTACTTGGGCTTTAGAGATTTTACTAGCTATTCAAGTTGGAAAAACAAGACATCCGCTTCTTGGCTCAAGTAAGGCGTAGACTGATTAAGAAACGAACGGCTTTAGCTGAATTCTATAAGCAACTGTTTCAACGACATTTCATTGCTTTCAAAATATCTTTCGTTTATTTGTTTGGCACTTCGGTTTTGATTAAAAGCATCATCTTATGGCACACAAACGGCAGAGTAAGGTTGCGCCAAATCACTTGTGATGGATACTCAGAGGACTACAGTTAAATGAAAGAATACGGCTTCATGGCATATTGATATTTCTATGTTGGTCATGATGGATGTGCAGTTATAGAAGTTGGGATTAGAATCGTGTTTAAATTCCAGCAGAGACCGTGACGTTGGTTTTTGCACAAATGCCCATGGAGTGGTATGAAGCTAACTCTCTTCAGCCTCTCAAGTCTTAGTCAGCAACCAGTCTAGGATAAAGACAGCTCTGAATTCAAAAACCGACTGGACGGAGCGGGAAGCACCTCGTAAAAGCTTCTACACTCTACAGGGGAATTTACAACACATGTACATACTGAGGAATCGTGATTAGACTATCCAACATTGAGAACTAGTCTAGAAGGACAACTCTGAATACAAACCCAGTTAGGCGTGGAGCTATAAAATCCACCTCTTAACAACCTACTTGATACAGAAACCACGATAGTAAATAGAGTAGTGAAGTTGTGGCACTAACGTGGTTGGGTTGTGGCCCGATAATCCCCAGTCGGGTTTACAAGTTTAGCATAACTATGTCGTGCCTAATATTTTAATAGATTTTTTTAAAAGATAGATTCACTTGGTACTTCATGATACTTACCTGGCACATGCCAGGTAGGGTTTATCATCTCTCAATTGCTTTTCTGTCTTCGGGCAGAGTGTCGCTCAAATGTGGCTGTCCGTGCACAGAGATGCGGCTGGGAAAAACAAAATACTGAGAGGTGCGCGGTCCCGGGGGGTGGGGGGGTGTTCGGACAGCTGCCTGCGGCTGTATCAGCTTCATTGCACTAGAGACGGCGGATCGATTGTCATACTGATGCCAGCGCAACCAACAGTTGCGGAGGCTGGGCAATTTTTGGGCCCTGGCCCGGACGCACGCGCTCGGATTCCCCACATTAAACCTGACCTTATGTCATACCACATCTCAGTGGGAAGACGGAAAAAATACTATTTAATCATGTATCGCAAGCTTAGTCGAAGAGAAAACTAATATCTTTAAAATGGTCATGTCGTGCCTAACATGTTCTATGTAGATCAGTTTTGCAATTATATAGTTTTTATTAGGCTAAAGAGTACGGATTATGACGCAATATCACCTGCAGAATGATCATGTACTGTCAAAACGTTTTAAATGTATATTCACCTGATACTTAATTATATTAATTTTATTCAAACGCTTCCAACAAGGCCAAGATAGATAGATAGATAGATAGATAGATAGATAGATAGATAGTGTCTGCATAATGTTTTTAGATAGGTAAACAGATGAGGAGGCCAAGATAGATAGATAGATAGAGTCTCTGCATAATGTTTATAGATAGGTAAATAGATAATGACGAGGCCAAGATAGATAGATAGATAGATAGATAACTGCTAATCATTGAATGTCTTGCGACCATGTGTTTTAGGTTCATATGTGTATCTGCTCATACAAGTTTATACAATTCAGCATGTATACACATACATACACATTATTATTATTATTGTTTCAAACGTTATTATAGTGGTCAGTAGTATTTGAAATAGAAGCGCCATTTTTATTTTTATTTTAAATAGCGAAATCTAAATAAAGAATGTGTTTATCGTTTGAACGGGGTGGGGCTTTACCGTTTAACAACGAAGAGCTTCACAGTAAACCAAGTTCTATTTCCATTTATAAGAAGAGCACATCATCTTCACTCAAACTATTTTCTTAAAAGAAACCTATAGCGATACTTAAGAATTAATGATTTTTTTTAATCCGACATTTTATTGCTTCAAACGTTATTATATTTAACATTCAAATTTGAAATAGAAGGCCTAATTTTATTTTAAACAATCTGTATTACGTCTACCGACAGACAAAATAAAAATATCTTTAAAAATTCTTCATATATATATATATATATATATATATATATACATACAGAGAGAGAGAGAGAGAGAGAGAGTGAGAGATTATTTTGTAACTGAAATACATAATCAGAGGATTATCTGCTATAAGCTGGGATCATGTTACTTTGTGGATAGATACACGTTGAAGCCATTTGCCTATCTTCTTCTATATACCGTGTCTGTTCAGACGTATACATCTAAGTAAAGCTTAGGTAAAAATACGATTGAATGGACAACATATAAAACAATTTAGAAAACAATTATTCCGACATGATTTGCTGGTGAATTGGTGTCATTGAAGCTTTTTTATCTTATATATTTACTACACTGATGAATTGACAGCCAAACTTTAATATATGGAAACTTTGTTGAAATAAAAAAAAAACATTGATTAAGTCAATTTATTGGCGAAACATAACAAAATTAAAGATTTCTTAACTGTCTATATACAGTGGTCCGTGTATGTATGCGTTAAGTATATATATATATATATATATATATATATATATATATATATATATATATATATTTACCGATTATTCAGCATTCTCAGAAAAAAAATTGGAATTGATTGAAATGAATCTCGTTTTTCTGATGAGGCCATTTCATCAGCGAAGCAACGTGTCAAAATAAAAGATTTCCAAATCTCCTTATATAAACACACATATACACACACACACACCCTATGCATATACGGACTCTGTTATTTTTAGTTTATAATGTTTAAACGTTATTTTTATGGATACTCATATTCGAGTGGAAGCTTTGTTTTTGAATTAGATAGTCTTTTATATCCAACTACATCTATCGGCCTGAATAGTCGAGAAAATTTGTCAGAAAAAAATATCCGTCCTCCGATAGGATTCGAACATGCATCCCGTATAGGGAACTGTCATTGGATCTGACATGCCTAAATGCCACACACACACACATATATATATATATATATATATATATATATATATATATATATATATATATATATATATATACGCAGCATGTCTTCATTCAAGCATGGTTCATTTTTAGAATTTAAAAGCATCCATAGTAACGCATTTTTAGAAATTATTTTAATTTTTTGTCTTATCAATTTACACACGAAGATGATATTAGATGAGCTTGAAAGTACTTGGGAAAATAAAAGGAATGAGAAAAGTTACACCGTTTTTCTCAATTAATTTTATACCGACACTAAGAAATTCATACGCGAATATGAGAGGGTCAAAATAAAATTAAATAGGCATTATATATATATATATATATATATATATATATATATATATATATAGAGAGAGAGCAAGAGACAGAGATTCAATTTCAAGATATGAAGGCCGGACAGTTCATTTTAGAAATAAACCGTTAGACTACCCACACACACACAAAAAAAATTAAAGCTTGTTTAGAATCAGTCACATTTTTCAGTAGAACTAATAACAGAGAAATGGTGCCCAGTGTCTTCACGAAATCTTCAAACTGACCTTTCGCGTTTGAATTCCGAGTTTTTCTTCTCCTAGACTGGATAGAAATATATTAGTCTGTAAATTTTAAAGGTGTTGGAATGAAAATAATATTTATCATGTAATCATGAAACAGACTCTTAGAAAGCAGAACATGTCCTTAATCCGAAATAATCTTCAGCCAACGATTACATGCAATGTCTGTCGATGGGTCTTCTTCCTAACCATCTAAGATCTCATGACGGTAAGCAATCTCAAGCAGCCTAAGTTGACAGTCATTCACAATGACTTCATAGAAATTTGCATCAGTATTATGACAAAATATGGGGTTCACAAGCAGGTTTAACGATTTACATGAGAATACATATGTACCGAATAAACTCAAAAACCATTGACAAGTCTTTCTTCCGCTCTATATTTACGACAGGCTGTAAAAGTAAAGAGGAGTTGCATACAAATGGTCGCTCAATCCAAAACTGAAGGAATTTTTTTCTTCCGGCAATCACTACACACACACACACACATATATATATATATATATATATATATATATATATATATATATATATATATATATATATTATGAACTCTTTCCTCGATTCCGACGTATGAGGATCCGTTGTCTTGTATGTGACACTTCAGTCCCGCTAGTGACCCGCGTACAATCCACATATTGTGCAACAGCGAGGATCTCGGGTCATAGCAAAAAAAGAATAGTCTTTTCGTCCCTTAGCTTGAAAATACGACTGATTTCAAAATTTCTGATACCACTCTAGCACAAATAACTCATATATATATATATATATATATATATATATATATATATATATATATGCATTCATGTGCGTGCATAATTTTTTGTGCAGGTTTTCTAGCAAACGATAACTAATTGTACTGCAAATATGGCTATGATTAGAAACACCTATAATTCTGTTGCTATATACTAAACGTAGTTTAGTTTGGTACAATAAAGATCGAACTCACATTCTAGTAATGATCAACTAGATGAGCCGGCTAACCATTACTTTAGGACCTATAATCCTATTGAATGGAGATGAAGTGACTTTGACGATAGAATTTTTATTGCCTTATCTTTATTTAGCGGCAACACTTTATTTTCAGGAGATCAAAAACGAAAACGAAAGGCTATCGAATCAGGAAGATAATACCATAAAATATAATAACATCTCTAGTCAACAAAGCAATGCTTTGCTGTGAACATGATTTTTTTTATATATATATGTTCGAAAGTGTTGTTTTCGAAAAGATAAGTAAAAGCCTTTCGCCGACATAAGAATAATATTCTAATCTCTCTATTCAACGGTGAAAGACAAATATATTTAGACTTAACGTCGTATCCGTGTTGCTATTTTGAATGTCTGTATGGCTTCACTGCAGCTCTAAATTCCATCAAATTCTTAAAGCTGTGATCATAATGTTTTCGGGATTTTATCTTTATATCACCAGTTTAAATATATTGGTATTAAACCAATAGGCAAGCGTATATGTATGTTTATGCGTGTGTGTACTTGTGTTCGTTCTTGCACGAGTATGCATATTCATACACCTACATATGTTCTTACGTGCTTACGAATGCATATCTAAATACATACAGACATTTCCTATGTATGCTTCTATTATTGCGTTAGTGTGTGCATGTTTATGTGCGTGTAACTAAATAGACGAGTTAGTAACTCGTGTTTAACGTAATATTGCATTGATCCACTGTATCTTATAATCACAGGTTTTCCAAACATATATATATATACACATACATAAATACATACATATAATATATATATATATATATATATATATATATATATATATGTGTGTGTGTGTTTGTGTGTGTGTGTGTGTGTGTGTGTATAGGACATCATTTTTTGTAGAAAATCTAATCTTTCACTATCGTGGTTTCAACACGTTCTCATATAACTTCGTTTTTTACGGCTTATCAAAATTTGACATGTTATTTAAAGCCTGAAAATAATTTAGCGATGATAATGGTTTAGCGATACAAGTCTTACTAATTAACTTGTAGCGTAGAAGAGGTTGATTCATACCTTGCCCAAGGGTATTTGTGCGTAAGTGAATATAATGAAGCCAACAGGAATTGAAACTCGGCTCTCTGATTAACAATTCCGAGACATTATCCATTCCACACATCGAAGCTTACAGCACCTGGTATTCCCAAGCAGTCACTCATCTAGTTACTGACCAGATTAATACAAGTTACCTTTGGACTTTACCATCACAGGAGATGCTCAAAATGGCGACGTTTAGCTTCAAGTCCTTTATTAGTACGGCGAACTATTGTTGGGGCAACGTTGGTCAAAGTGACCAGTGGGATTTTCCGTTTCTTTTCTAAGGGCCGCCAGATAAAGTTGGTTTTCTGTGATACATAACATTCTTTAGGGTCCCCTAAGAAAGACTAGTTTTTTTTCCTTTCTTGAAGTGTGTATATATTATTGGAAAAGAAATGGATTTATACTTTTCCCATAGGTATTTGCAATAAGTAACGTACTCGGCTGGAATTCGAACTTGGATCCCCTACTCTTCAATCCTAGCCGTTATTCATTACCTGGCCGTGTCAGCTAACTGTAGGTAAATAGCCGGACAAAGTCATATAGACTTCGAGAGTGACATCTTTGAAATCAGGTTTGTTGAATTTGTGGGACACTCTGTGCCTCAGTATTTGGATCTTCCAAAAAGTATGGTTGGTTCTGCACAACTCTTCACCACTATAATAAATTCTTTGTGTGAGTAGTCTAGCTGTTCGGTTCTAAGTGCTAAGTTTCTGTATTCTTACACACACACACACATATATTAAGACATGTCTCATTGAATAATTTAGACAAGTTTTGTCTACTTATTTTCAATAGGATCCTCTCATATTCACAGACAAGCTTCTTAGTATCCTTATTAAAGGAAGAGAGAAAATTACTACGTTGACATATAGTCAACCGAGTACTTTCGACATTAGCACAATGTCATCATCATGGTGTTGTTTTTTTCTAAGACAAAAATTGTTGTGCTTATCAT